GTCTCAGAGGTGATAAGGTGTAGAACTCAAGGCGAAGAATAGGTGCCACCACCATGTCGTCTCAGCAAAGCGTTGGAAACATTCGCCTTTCCGTGCAAGCATTGCATGGTCAGTACAGCATGATAAACGCTATGGTCCTTAGAATTACTTATGTATGCCTTTTCTAGTAAAAGACGCACATACAGAATATATACGTGTTGTTATGGTGCCTTAGATATGCGCAATAATTGTTCTTTAGTTGACAATCGCACAAGTATGCACGCTGAATTTTGAGCAACATTGGTGGGCGCTGCGGCCTTTGGGGTATTGGCTGGTGCCATTTAATGTTCCCAGTATCGTTAAGGGTGGACAAACAGACAAATGGACAGACAGGCAAAAATTTTTCGTCGAAGGTTTCCAAGAAAGACTATCATCTTTAATAAATAACACTAATGACACAGTGGAATTCGAACCCGGGTCCGCTGCATGCCAGCCCAGTATTCTACCACTGAGCCATGCCGGTGCTTGGAACTCATTTCTAAAGTGGTCTTAGGCAGGCTTGTTGTCGGGAATGGAATCCTGCTAATATGAGTAATAAAGCATTTTAGAACATCCAAGGAACAACCAGGTTTTACGCAATGTAAATTGCGTAATGAGTGGGTTGTTCAGTGCTCCAACCCATTAGAAAACGTGCTCTTGATCACCTTTTGATAGTGGCACGTACCCACTTCAGGCATAATTCTTCATTGTCAGCCACTGCATAAAAAAATTGCACTTAATTCCTAGCAAGTATGTAGCGGACACCACCATTCTCCCAAGAATGATGAACGATAGCATAGTGAATGCTAACCTACTACACAAAAACTGCAATTTTTTATGGCGCAGTGGCTACCCAGCAGTGTGCTTGTAGCATCCCAAAGAGTGTTTAGAAACGGCTCTCAAAGGCCGCTCTTGTAGCTTTCGCTGTGACTGTGCTGCCCGTTCCGCGCAAGCCTGGAATTTTTCGGGAGATCAGTTGTGGAAAGGAAATAAAACTTGACAAAAGAGGCAACTCTACAGTTGCCTGGAGCAGAACAGAAAAGCTTCGTGTGATGGATGGAATGCTCTACCAGTTAAACTACAGCAGCAGCTGTTCCTTCTCGCATTTTAAAAAAAATTTTTACCCTAATATTTGTGCATTTTCATAGCCTTAGTTCTAGGATTTCAATATATTCTTTGTTCAAAGTGTTCTGGCCCGTTTTCAGCTTTGTTTAGTTCACCACGACTGTCCTTTGTAAGATGTAGTTTTTTGAAACCCTCTGCGGGAAAAGAACTGCGTTTCAATGAATTCATTTTAGCTTAGTGAGTTTTCAGAAATCTGCTGCTTTAGGTTTCATACAAACTGAAAATTTCCGCAGGTCGCGGGATCAAACCCGGCTGCGACGGCTGCATATTTGATGGCGGCGAAAATGCTGTAGGCCCATGTGCTCAGATTTGAGTGCACGTTAGAGAACCCCAGGCGGTCGAAATTTCCGGAGCCCTCCACTACGAGGTCTCTCATAATCATACGGTGATTTTAGAACGTTAAACTTCGCATATCAACCAATGAATCAGTTAAACTGAAAATTGTTAGTATGCATGAAGTGATGTTTTGACAGGGGTGCAGCATTCTCCACCATTCAGTCTTGCTCAAGCTAGCATGTTTCTTCAGAAAGCTCTCCCAATTAAAAAATACATTTCGAAATGCATCTTTTAAAGATGTTATGTTACTAAACTTTCAAGTAGTGACACTTTTTTTCTTTTAGAATAAGAAAAAGTGATAATAAGTTAGTTAACCTACGCTTCCTTCCTTTCCTTCACGGGTTTACAAGAAACAAAAAAAAGAACAGTGAATCGTCACCAGGGCATTATCTCTTGTATCATCTTATTGCCAATGTCTCAAGTCAGCATCTCGTACACAACTCACAAGCAAAGAAGATGCTCATATGTTTTGTTTTAATGTTGTAGCTATCTCTTGTGACAGCAAAGCAATGGACGACATCACTCACAATGCAGCCAATGGCGTGCGTGCTGGGGTATGACACTGAGAACGAGATAACTGATTGCACAGCCAAAGTACACCGCTCGTGACACCGATGCCGAGCAGTTTTTTGTTCCTCCTAGCCATATACAGCCTTCGCTGTAAAAAAAAGCTCTGATGTACACTTTCATCGCTACCACTAAGGCCTACCTACTCTAGCATAGAATCTAGCCAGTAGGTACTTTTTATTACATTTGCAACACGCTACTAGCGCAGTACATCGCTGTCTCTTAAAACCTGCATTATCAATAGCAAACATGCACATTCTTTTAATGATGCCTCGGTCCAACTTCGTTCCACAGGAGTTGCATATAGTCCCAACGTGCAGGTTCTCCTGCCGTTACAGAGCAGCTGCCTATCTTTATTGTGTTGAGCCCTCGTTACGTGACTCCGCTTTTATTTGGAGTCGTAGACCATTGCACGCAGCACCTGGGATGGCCATGTGGGGAGTACTTGCGGCAGCCAGCGGTTGCGAGACGTGCAGCTCACGTGATGGGGACATTGCACTGCGCGGGCGTGTTTTAGTGGCTTCTGCATTTAGATGGGGGCGCCCTGATGACACACGACGGTTCTTTCATATTCAGGCGCGAGAGCGCATGGTGACGGGCGCATGCAAAATGAAGAGCAGACAAGTGTTGATAGCATGGCGTTGCGCTATTTTACGAGGGCAATAACACACACTGTGTAGGGTAAAAAAGTAATGTATGATTGTTTTTTCTTTATTGTTCAGACTTTAAAGGGACCGAGGCTGGAATGTCCGATTAGGTCCCAGTGTAAATATAGACAGTGGATTACAGTGACGGATTCATGCCCCCTATTCAAGATTTTAACAGCATTATGTTTTTAAATCGTGTTTAACCCTTTCGCAGCCTTCAGCGAGTATGGTCATGGTTAGATTTTCTGACCAATGACCGATGAGAGCTATATCGTTCGTAAAAAAAATTGGTCCCGCATGAAAGTTATGAAGGCGACACTTGTCTTACTTGTGTTTCTTAAAGTTAGATGGCCACACCTGTTCATATTCGGACACTTGTATCTCTGCTTTTAGCTTATTGCTACTTCTTACTGTATTGCCTTGTAGTAAAGCCACATGTGCATTATCTTTTTCTAAGTGATTAGTGTTAAAATAATGAAATACTATTGAATTCAAAGAATGGTACAATTCTACCAAGAAAACAGAATAGCTCTACAAATTGGTAGGGAAAAAAGTTTTCGATGATTTTGGCACGCTTTTGTCTTTTTCTTTCAATTGGGAAAGGGTTTAATGTGAAAGAGCCTTCATGTTGCACTGTGAAGTAATTCTGTGTTGAATTCATAATCTGATGCTTCTATTTTATGCACCAATTAAAATTAGAGTATGTGCGTATTCAGGCACATGTGCGGCTCATTGCAGCACACAAACATGAACGTCGGCAGGGCTTATCTCTCTCTCCCTTCCTCATTTCCAGTGTGTTTTCTTTACGACTTCACAGTTGCCGCAGACCCAAATATATTGATTATAAATAATTGGGAGTATTTCCTGCATTAATTTTTTACGATTATACACTGTGACCAGCAAGATTTTCGTTGCACTAAAGAAAACGGATGCCATAAAAATTGGGTCTCAGTCCCTTTGTAAAGCAGATTATGGCACTAACTTGAACTGTAATGTTTTAGCGGGATTGTTGAAACACGGGGTTTAGTTTTCACAGAAAACATTGACATGCCTACACATTTCACTAATTAATTCTTATTTGGTGCCACATACTGAAGTGTAATAGTAATACCTTGTGTGTTCTGCATCGTATGCACCAACAATTTCTCAGGATGATGTGAGTTTCGAGATACTAATTCCCGAAGCCTGCGGCAAAAATATATTGGCAGTTCAATTACTTTTTTTTCTGTTTAAGCAAAATTAACTTTTTTATGAGTAACTGTAAGTGAAAAAACACTGCGTTTTTTACCATGTTTCACGAAGCATATAATGAAACCATCAGCATTCTGAATCAGGCCTCGCTTAGGTAGGAAGAGGGAGGGGGAGTATTGAGATAAGTTGGCATTCCTAATGGGGTCAGTAAGTGAAAACACATCAATAATAGATAGTATTAAAAAAGAGCAAAAAGATAGCGAGAAGGGTCACTCGTGTTTTGTCTCATTTTTTAAATTTTTATTTATTTGTTTGTCTTTTTTTTTTAGCTTTAAAACGGTAGAAAGGGGAGGGAATTTCACGGAGTCATGAATGTCGCCAGTGAGCAGCGAATAAAGATGACGATTTTCCGGTGATCAGAACAGCTAGTAAGCCATAGATAAGCATCTTACTGGTGTTCATTATGTGCCTACCATATCGGATTGACTCGAGAGCTCGCTTAGAAACATTTCTAGCTATTGGCTGGAGTATATTGAACTTGTAAATAAGATAACGCTCTAAATTTTCTATCTCTTACGGACCACATTAATGGTTTGACTCATCAAGGTTGTGATTTGCCACTCTGAAATGCTGCACCACAGCTTTCGGTAACTTCTTCACTTGCCCGTGTGACGCTTACTTGAACTGGTATTAACAGGCTGGCCTAATTAACAAGGCAGCCTTAGGACGTTGGCACCATCATCACTTGTCAGATGAGGTTATTCATGTGTGCTCAGCGTTGTATACTCTTTGGGGTTGTTCCCTTCACTGTAGGGAGTCATTGTTTTGATTCCACTCATGCGCAGCACGGCCGTGACCTCTAGAAACCTGACAGCGCGTGAAAGTGTTGTGGATTGGCTTTGCTGCAGGTCACGAGCTTGTTGAATATGTAGTTGCGCTTACCTGATTGTAGTCTTGCTTGGCTCACACTTGTCTCTGTAAAAGCTGCAGCTTTAACCATAGTCGAGTTTTCAACTATGAACCAACTAGTCTGCAAAGAAGTATTACTTATCTAGCATATGTTTATTTTTTTTCATTAAGACGTCGGTTCAGCGGATATGTAGCTTAACATAAGAATAGTAAGTCAATGATTTACCATCAAGAAATATCGGCTCTTTCTTGAGCATTCACACAAAAGAGACTGGCCCTTAGACTACTCCGTGATCCAAGACGAGAGAGTGGTTTCTTTCTCGCCATCTCAATCTTTTCTACAGGTGCTATCTTCACCTTGCCACTTCCTCCTTCATGAAACCTGTGAACAGCATCAGCACCAAGCGTTGAGTGCACTATCAGAATTTAGAGATTTCTGGCTAAATGCTGTTAGCTCTGCTTGTGCAGTTGAAAACCCACAAAACTAAATGAAACAAGTTAGTTGCGCATGATTGTCATGCAAGACAAGGCAGGGCAGATTTGCAACTACATGGGAAAGTGGTGTAGGTGACAATTCAATCAATCAATCAATCAATGAAATCTTTATTTCCAACGTTTTGTGACAATTCATTGGTACAAAAGCTAACAGCTTGAAAGTGCCTGAATATCCCTTATGACTGATTGGTTGAGGTGACAATTTGCAACTAATAACCCTCTCACATGGACCAATCTAGAGTTTATTTTCACTTATGGCGTCATGTGAACAGACAGCAGGCATAAATTGTGCGAAAAAAGAAGAACCACTGCGGGTGAAAATGATTCGCTCATTCTTTGCATATTCAGAAGTTGTTTAGGGGCCCTTCAAGTAGAAAACAGACTAGCACTAAACATCGCATGCTAACAATAAGCTGGCCACCTCTGAAATTTAGAATGCTGGCCGACTATCCCAACCAGAATTTGCCTTCACACACCTTGATTCGAATTTCACCTCCTCTCTGTCATGGTTGGTCTGATGTAATAAAGAAAACATGTTTCCTGTGTACAGGGTGCCGTCTGTCTTGATGTCATCCCACAAAATTTGATTATGATTGTTTCGAATTATGTGCAACTTTAATGATTTCTAAAAAATGAACTTGCCATCAGTTATCATGCACTATAATTTTTTCATATAAACTGCTCTCAAGTCAATAACTAAAAAATGAGTTTGATAGTTTTTGGGAATTTGTTGCATTAGTGTCATTTCAGTTGCTGAAAATGAACTATTTCTGCCTAGATGTAGAGTTCATGAGTGAAATTAAGAACAGCCTGACTCTCATAGAATTTTTGAAAAGGTTGTATTGCCTTAAAAAATACACCCTGTATACTTATAAAACTTTAATCTTGATTGAAAAAGCAATGTCACTGGTCTGCTTTACTGAACTTGAAAATCATCATCATCAGCCTGACTACGTCCACTGCAGGACAAAGGCCTCTCCCATGTTCCGCCAGTTAACCCGGTCCTGTGCTTGCTTCTGCCAATTTATACCCGCAAACTTCTTAATCTCATCTGCCCATCTAACCTTCTGTCTCCCCCTAACCCGCTTTCCTTCTCTGGGAATCCACTTAGTTACCCTTAACGACCAGCGGTTATCCTGTCTACACGCTACATGCCCGGCCCATGTCCATTTCTTCTTCTTGATTTCAGCTATGATATCCTTAACCCCCGTTTGTTCCCTAATCCACTCTGCTCTCTTCTTGTCTCTTAAGGTTACACCTACCATTTTTCTTTCCATTGCTCGCTGCGTCGTCCTCAATTTAAGCTGAACCCTCTTTGTAAGTCTCCAGGTTTCTGCTCCGTAGCTAAGTACCGGCCCCGCCGTGGTGGTCTAGTGGCTAAGGTACTCGTCTGCTGACCCGCAGGTCGCGGGTTCGTATCCCGGCTGAATTTCCGATGGAGGCGGAAAAGTTGTAGGCCTGTGTGCTCAGATTTGGGTGCACGTTAAAGAACACCAGGTGGTCGAAATTTCCGGAGCCCTCCACTACGGCGTCTCTCATAATCATATGGTGGTTTTGGGATGTTAAACCCCACACATCAATCAATCGTCAGTCGTAGCTAAGTACCGGCAAGATACAGCTGTGATATACCTTCCTCTTGAGGGATAGTGGCAATCTACCTGTCATAATTTGAGAGTGCTTGCCAAATGTGCTCCACCCAATTCTTATTCTTCTAGTTACTTCAATCTCGTGATTCGGCTCCGCGGTTATTACGTGCCCTAAGTACACATAGTCTTCTACAACTTGAAGTGCACTATTACCTATCTTGAAGCACTGCTCTTTTCCAAGGTTGTTGTACATTACTTTCATTTTCTGCAGATTCATTTTAAGACCCACCTTTCTGCTCTTCTTGTCTAACTCCGTAATCATGAGCTGCAATTCGTCCCCTGAGGTACTCAGCAATGCAATGTCATCGGCGAAGCGCAGGTTACTAAGGTACTCTCCATTAACTCTTATCCCTAACTGTTCCCATTCTAGGCTTCTGAAAACCTCCTGTAAGCACGCGGTAAATAGCATTGGGGAGATTGTGTCCCCTTGCCTTACACTCTTCTTGATTGGTATTCTGTTGCTTTCTTTATGAAGCGCTATAGTAGCAGTTGATCCCCTGTAAAATCGGATGTATGCACTAAGGGATAAAGAAGGCAAAATAACTAGCAATATGGATAGGATAGTTAATATAGCGGAAGAGTTTTACAGAGATCTGTACAGTAGCTGGGACAACTATGACTTTAATACTATCAGAACTAGCAGTAACCCAGATGACACCCCACTAGTAATGATAGAAGAAGTCAGAAAAGCTTTGGAGAGTATGCAAATAGGCAAAGCTGCTGGTAAGGATCAGGTAACATCAGATCTGCTGAAAGATGGAGGACAGATTGTGTTAGAAAAACTAGCCACCCTGTTTACGAGGTGTCTCCTGACGGGAAGAGTACCAGAGTCTTGGAAGAACGCTAACATTATCTTAATACATAAGAAAGGAGATGACAAGGACTTGAAGAATTACAGGCCGATAAGCTTGCTCTCTGTAGTATACAAGCTATTTACAAAGGTAATTGCTAACAGAGTAAAGAAAACATTAGAATTCAATCAACCAAAGAAACAAGCAGGATTTCGAACAGGCTACTCAACAATAGACCATATTCATACTATCAATCAGGTAATAGAGAAATGCTCAAAATATAACCAACCACTATACATAGCCTGCATAGATTACGAGAAGGTGTTTGATTCAGTATAAATATCAGCCGTCATGCAAACACTGCGGAATCAGGGAACTTGAAAATAAACTTGCTTTTTTTCATTGCTTAAGACGCTTAAGACTTTTAAATATGTTATTACTGTTACTTGGCTGCTAGGTGTAAAGGTCAGTGCTTTGGCAGTGTGTTAGTATTAGTATTGCAGTTTACTTATCAGCTATTCCTATTACAAATATTGTTGGTTGGTTTGGATGGTTTGACGGGTTGAACATCTCAAAGCAACTTGGGTGATGAGGAACTCCATAGTGGAGGTCTCCAAATAATTTCGATCATGTGATGTTCTTGAACATACGCAAACATTGCACAGGCCCTCCAGGCTGAGTACTGCGTGAGTTTGACCTACAGGGGAATGCAACCATTGTGGCCAGGACCAAACCTGCAGCTTTTGGGCCAGCACTAGAGCACTTTGACCACCGAGCTACTGTGGTGGCCTATTACCGACATATTCGCATCCTCTTGTGCCTCAGCGTACTAGAATAAGGGCATATGTACTTCATCAATTTGCATAAGGTATTCCTAATACTTTCCTTTCTCAGTAAAGGCAGGCAACTCCTTTCTCAGGGGTGAGGCTGTCTCATATCAGTTTTACGGGTTCATGTTATCTGTCAGGGCTAAAGGGTGCTCCTGAGTAGTACTTCAGGCGGGTATGACCCATCTATCGCGGGACAATTGACGGAAGAGTGGCCGCTGATAAGGCCTCTCAGTCGTGTTGCCGAATGCCCACTTCAGAGATTGGAGCGTGCGTGGGCCCCAGTGAAAGACCTCGTGAGGAGGAATACGGTGCTCGCCCGCCTATCCGACTTGAATGAAAAGAGAAACTCACTAATCTCACAAGATGGAAACGTGGGAAAATCGCGCTACTTTCGGAGATTGTGACCATCACGTGCGATGGGCACAGCCTAGTTTTCGCACGCACGTGTCATCGCGATGCATTTGTTGGCTCTGGCTGGGCTGTGACGCCAACTCACGGCGAACTTTGCCAAGTTTGTAAGCTCTTACTGTGCGTCAGATGTTTTGACGCCTTGTGTGTGAACGTCCAAACCTGCAGAAATATGGCTGTTACCCATTCTATTTACCTGTTTATGATTAATTGGTTTACTTTCTTTCTATATGTATTGGCTGGCTCCATAGGTTTGTTATGATCCTTCTTTTTTTAGCATTACAAAAAGATTCATTAATGAACAGCTTATGACTGTCAATATTCCTGTGTCATTTTAAGTATGTGCTTTAACACCTCGAGACATTTTGAGACACGTTGGACATGTTTGATTGTTTGTGCTTCCTAAGTGAGACTTAAATGTAGAGTGTTGTAGCTTGGATAGCCCTCTTTTCATTTTTAAGATTCTTTGTACAGATTTGCTTGTGCTATCAGTATAGAGATATCTTTTGCATGGCAGTCATTCTTAGATATCTGTAGCTGGTAGTCAAGTAATGTTCAAACTCTGTATGAGGGATTGAGTACTCTCACTGAACTTTGCATTGACTCTGTAAGGCAGCAAGAGTGGAAACATTTATCCATATGTGGCCTTGACAAGGTGCAGATATTATCATAATTGCTCTACTCTCCTCCATTATTAATGCGATAGCGTAAAAAAGCTCATTTCGCAGAAATTCTGGCGTCAGTGTCACTGATTGTGAGCAAAAAATCGCCTTGTCTGTGACCAAAAAATCGAGATGGATGCAAGTAAAATGAATAATAAGAATTTCCCAGTCCGAGTAAAGATCAAACTCTGGAAGTTTGCATTGAAAGCAGGTGTTCTACCGCCCATCTATGCACATGCTGGGAAATAACTTTGGAAATACAGTGAAAATTCCTTCTTGTGCTTGGAAATACTGTGAAATTAACTTTGGAAATACAGTGAAAATAACTTCCTGTGCTTGAAAGTGCTGTGAAATTAACTTTCATGCTTTACAAACACACATGTCCTGAATACATACATGCCTCACAATAGAACAGGTAATATCACAATAATATTGCGTACAACAAGCGTACATTGTCATTGGGTATCCATCGAATCAGCCACGCATATGCTAAACACGTGTTCAAAACCTCAAGGTCGTAATATTACGACTTTGAGGTTTTTATAATGGATACCACGTAGTTGGTGCATAATAACTTCGAAAGCATTTCAGACACATAATCTCTCGTAATTTAAAGCATGCTACATCTTTCATAGAACCCGGCCATATGCAAAAACGTCACTGACATAAGCCACTTTCAACTTTATTGATGACATTGTAGTAGTGAACAACTCAAATTTCTAAGTAACATTTTATAAAATAAAAAGTACACACTAGGTAATTGAAGTATGCACTAGGGATAATATATCAGCATTGCGTTCAAATCTTAAAGGCGAAGCTTAATGGTCGCCCAATTTTCGGTTTGGCTGGCTTTCCAAAAAACCTCATTTCATCATGACTGTAATACGTTTCCCATTCGAGTCACTTTTTTTTTTTTTTTCAAAGCATTATAATGTCGCACTGCAGCATTACCACTCTGTAGCAGAAAACGGTCACTATTAATCGATTCTAAGCAGCATGCTGGATTATTGTAATTGTGCTAGTTCACAATCATTGCCTGTGAAAAGTGTGCATAATTTACGCGCTGGTTGTACCATTTGCAAAGGAAGTTGGTCAGGCTAATATTGTACAGAAATTCTCGTTCATATACAGCAAACAATGCAGCGGAGCATTGCGCTTTTCCCATCATTTTCCAACATGACAGGCCCTAGTGTTGAAAACACCCAGAATTTTTGTCAGTGGGTGCAAAAATGAAGAGCCATTTTAAAGACTGATTCAGAACAATTTGATATTCGCTTTGAAATCTTGTATATGTGCTGTTTTAAACAAGGATGATGAAGAAGACGTGGAGAAGATAAACAGAAGTACAGAAGGAAAAACACAACTTTCAGAAGGACAAAACACAACTTTCAGCTGTTTTATTTTGTTCGCTGTTCAAGCATATATGGACCACAAGGCAAATGTCAGAGCGATAAAAACACCGCACCTTTGTCTGCATGACATCCAACTTTTGTGTTTTTGTCTTGGGATCTATTTATAAAACTAAACGCACAAATTGCAAAATATAGATGTCATGTAGGCAACTTTATATATGTGTGTAAACCAGGGACCGAGCGTGAAAAGTGCGAATGATGTTTCTGCGTTCTATTGAGGCCCATACTCTTTTTTTTTTTTTTCCAACCGTAAGTAGCAGTTGCTTTCAGTCACTACAGATAAAACCACTCCTAGAAATTAGAAAATAAGTGTTTGTTTGTGCTTTTTCGCATCCATCATGCCGCCTGTGTAGTGCCTACTTGATGCTAGGCAATGTACTTTCATAGCTTTTTATTTTACAGCTTTCACTTTGCCCTTGTACACATTATGTTGCCTGATTAAGATCCACCCACTGAAGTGTTACCTACAATCTCATTTTTGGGAATGCTGTTCAGACACGAGCCTAGAGAAAACTCTGTCATCTTACAATCAAGTCTTAGGCAACATTTTTAACAGATCGTCACTTCCCTGAAAGGCAAGTTCATGCCCTACACATGTGTTGTCAGTCTATGCTCTTAAAAAAGACATGCCTATTTGATTTGTGCCATTAAGCAGTGCATTAAAGAAAAGCACCACTTCCTTGGAACGCCAGTTGTGCTCTGCACACGTGCTGTCAGCTGCATGTCATTTCAACTTGCACAGCTGTTTCGAAAACATAAAATGACAGTTTTTTTTTTTTTTCTGTCTCATCGACATCGCACTTTCCACGAGGTTGGCTGGGTCCCGTGTCACCCCACGTTGAATGCAAAGCTCCTTTGCAGCTGCATATAAAAGTGGGACACGCGTCACGCCTCTTCTCACTGGTGGAGCCATTTTCGTGGGGCCTTCCCCTACCTGGCGGCTTGCCAAATGACTGCTGCTGCTTACCTGCATGCCGACCTAACAACCTGCCACCTCTACTGCCCGGTGCAAGTGGCAGTGTTTCACATGTTGCTCCTTATGATCCTCCTTATATTTCACAACACAATGAAAAGTAGGAATACTACGCAAATGCCAGAGTTCCTACCTTCTATCCTTCTCTTAATCTGGACGCATGACTCGGGCTCAAATGGACCTGGAAGAAACCGTTGGGTGTCGTCATGCATCGCGTTCATCAGAAAAACAAACGGCCAGGGAGGGCCTTTGAATTGATTGCATTGTCTGGGCACAGGCCAAGTTCAAGGTTGCGACAGACGACGGCAGGTGATGGTCGGAGGTAAATATGGCACCTCTCCTCCCTGGGGGGAGGGAGGGAGTTTTTACGGCATCAACGTCAACAGAACTTGACTTAGTGCACCTGGAATTACGTCAAGGTCCCTATGGCCCAATCCTGAATGTTTCTGTTACCTGAACCACTCCTGACTTAGTTTGCGACCTTGTTGACTTCTTTGCTTTGTTACTGAGTCCCTGTGCACGGGACACAGGGCACCACGCGATCATTTGTTTTGGGGCAGCAGATTTCAAATGGTTGATAGCTGTAGCCAACCTCGCAAGAGAAATCATTTCGAGGGGACAGCTCGTATCAAGTAGTGCTGAACAAAGTGCTGCATATTTATCATTGATCTTCTCGTTCAGATACAGTGCATATTTCAGACACAGAAAGAGATTGCACAAGAGCTATAGTAATGGCCAAAGAGTGCTAGGTTATAGTAAAGGGTGTGATCAATGCAGGTGTTTAGTGGCTGTATAAAGGCCTACAATTCTGCATATTAGAGCTGTGTAAGAATGTATGATTACTAAAATCATGATAGTGATGTGAAACATGCATGGTGAGAATAACTGATTAGTGATCATGATTTTAAAATATGGGAGTGTGACTTTAGCACGAATGCCTCGTCAACCACCACTTTTCTACCTCATTGCACACACATAACTTATTGCTTGACACACTTGCGCATGGACGTGAATGTGTGAATGCCTTGTTCTTCATGATATAGTATGTGGGTCATCGGTTATAGTGGCACCAGTTTTATTTGTAAAGCACTCCACTCGTGCTACTCAGAGCCTTCACCCCCTTAATCTTCTCCTGTTCCGTGCATGTTTTAAGGGCTTTAATTAAATTCTGTTCTTGTTCCATCCACGGTCTCAATCTGGAATGGTCTTGGCGGCGCACTTTACATGCACCTTATGTGCATTTCGAGAAAAAGTTTGTCGTGTATCTCATGAGTTCTAATTCTGCAGTGTGCTTTTTGTATATTCATGTTTTTTACCATTAAACACATTTTTATGCAATGTTGATTTGTTATATGCACATTTCCGTGACATGCTTTACTATTTGCCTATCAATTCACATATTTTAGTGATACTTTTGGGCTAATTTGTTCTTTGTTATCTATAATTTGCAAACAACTTTTATACCCACATGTGTAATGTCTCACAAAGGGATGGCAATGTATGTTAATTGATTAATACAACGTCTCACAAAGAGTGATTCATGTATGCTCATTAATTAATTACACCATTGAACCCAAAAGCTGGAAGGTATATGCTTTTCTTAATGTAACTATCGCAGTAGCGACCTCTCTGAAGAGGCCATTCCATGGATTGATTGCTTGGGTAAACTCTAATTGAAAGATGTGTTAATCCATTGAAAATGCCGCCACTGACTTACATTTTAAAGAACGGCCCTTTTCCGACAAACATAGCAGAATGATGCGGAAGATGCTACCAGTGTAGCAATGCTCTTGTTGTTGCTACAGTGGAATAAACCTCTTGGTTTGCTTTCTAACTGGAGTTGGAGAACAGATAGTGGGCCTTATGTGCACACACTCCAATTTCAGCATTGCGCTGCTTGGAAGCATGCCTTATTTGCTTTTCTAATCGCGTAGATATAGAATTACGAGCGCCCTTTCGCGCTTATCTGTTACGAAGTGCCCTGCGATGACTGTTTAAGTTGTCTCAATGGCTCGGGGGGAACACTTCTTAGAAAAAGAGGTGCGCCATTAGGAGCAGCAAATGTAGTTTGCCGTGCCGCACCAAGTGTAGGGGAGAAGGAGACGTTGAATAATAGGGAAGAGAGACAGTGCATGTGTACATTTCAAAGGCATCGATGCCACTCTTTGCTAACTGATGCTAAAGCCACCGATCTAATTTTATTGCCTGTACAAAAAGTACAATGCTGAAGCAGTCTACATAAGGCTGTGGCCTCCACAAAATGGATAATGCTAAGTCATCTACTGATTTTTTTTTACTCTGCAAGAAGTACAATGCTAAAGTTAATCATGTAAATTTCTTACCTCTATGCAAAGTGCAGTACTAAAGCCATCTACATAAGTCTATTGGCTCTACGAAATGTAACAGTGCTTTCATCTCTCGGTTGTTTGAAGGTTGATGATGCTTTCGATTTCGCAAACTATTTTTTCCTGTTTGAAACAACTGTTTTGTGCGCCTCAGTCTTTGATGTGTATGCTTAACATTATATTTTCTGAGCTTGCCAACGGCTCAAGGGCCTTGGATATTGTGCTTTGTGTGGCAAGCGATGCACTGCACACATTTACACACATGCCGGCTGACGTGAGTTTCTGGAACACTGAAAACTTTTCATCAGTTTGCAGCTGGGGCGAGGAGTTTTGAGGGTGGCAGATTGAATACAGAAAGTGTGCACATTAATTATTTATGATTCCACAAGCATTTCAGGCCTAAGCGGAACTATCAGGTCGCCAACAGCCCTCGGAAGTTGGAAAATGTGGAAATTAAGTTAGGAAAAGTAAGGCTGTTCAAGTGGCTGTGATGTTTTCAGCCTGACTATTGTACTAACATTGGGAGTGTGAGCCTATCGAAGTACATCATATGAAAAAGTACTATTCTCAATAAATGAAATGGCCCTCAGGTCTATGTAAATAATAATGTTTGTTACAAAAGAAGAAAGGTTCAGTAATCCTATTACTCTGAACTCAAAGCGAAGTAGTGTTACCACTGTCTTATTGATAATCAGTTGGAGAATTTACAACTTGTATGTTGTCAAGCATTTCCTCATGCTTGATATGAAAGGGGTTATAATGTTCACTGGAGTCTCATGGGAGATAGTTCTACGATGTAAGGATTTCTCCAAATTATGCGGGTTTATGGGAGCTATGGTGTATGTGTGGGGGCTGTATTTCCCAAGTGAATGATTTAAACAGGCAAAAACTCTTTATTGATTATGCCCATTCATCCTACAATAATGCCATGCTTTTGGGCAGCCTACGAATTTTTTTGTTCAGTTTTATGCAAAGAGATGTTCAGCCCTAGCATGTTTGCATTCACTCAAAGTAGTTGGGCAGAGTTCTAGTATTTTTACTAATATTCATACTAATCTCTGTCAATGAACACAGCACTAAATGCACATCTAGTCAAAGGCTATGAATGCTTTGTTGGATAGCTGATGCCACATTGTCATTTACAGGTGCCTCAGTTGATCGTATAAATTTTATTAGTAAATGACACTCATCAAAGACCCGCCACCTCTTAATGAAAAATATTAGGGGAAAGCATACAGATATTGCAGGAATGAAGCCAGTAATCAAGTTAAACAGAATTGTGGATTTATGGCAGAAATTTCCTCAGAAAACAACACAAAAGTGACATTTTATGTACTGAGGTACCATAACAGCTTTTTATATATTCATCATGTCACCATGTACTGAAATGTTTATGTCATACGCAGACTTCCCTGCTTCCTATTACACTGTCTGCAGTATATTTTTCTAGAAATACAGCACCTTTTTGTGCTGGCCATTCACCCACTTGCTGCAAAAAGTGATTGTGTATGGCATGCTGTACAAAAAGAAAAAAGGGGAAAAAAAGGCTCTTGCTCTGAAATCGCAAAACAGTGCCAGGCAGATGGCGAAAAGGCCCTGTAAACATCAACAAACGGTGACACCGTGCGGTCTTATTTGCTAGGTCACATTGCCGGACGCATTCCTGTTAACAGTAGCGTCAGCCACTTCTACTCGATCTTGCACAAATTACTGAATGTGCTTTTAAAGCAAAATGTGCCATTGATAGAAAGGGACGCCAGTAGGCAAAGCTAAATCATCCATTAACACCCAATTCGTGCTCATACGTTAAAAGATTGAGGCTCTAGGGTGCGTGAAATAAAAAATATAGGCATTTGCCTATGATTCAATCTCTATGTGTGATTTTTCTACGATTCAACCGCCCACCTCAAATTTCCCTGTTTTGCGCATCTACATTACATGCTTACATGCACAAACATGTATAAAGGGTGGCTGAACGCTCCCCATTCACATACGCCAAAAAACATTCTGGCTGTGCCATTGAACTCCAAGAACAAAACAAGTTGCCATTGTCCCTGAATTCAGCTAGCTGTGGGTAGATTGAGAATCTATATTGTATATTCTTAAGTTGTTTTAGTGTAACAAGTTTGAGTTGTCCTTATGCCCAGTAGTGAAGAAAAACTCTGACCAAGAACTCTTTTTTGCTTGCGTTACCTCTAAACGGTATCTCCATCTATAGACGACATTAATCGATACCGTGAATGATTTGCTTGTTCGAGAGACCTGTCTAGTACCCTTTGGACTCAATGGAAAGTGCCACTCTTCAATCGCCCGTTTCTCTATGTATGCTATCGCGGTAGGGTCTGTCCTTTTCTTCTTATCGCTGTGTTTGAGACACCATACGTCCTTCAGCAATTGCGTGCGTGTGCATTGCTGGGCTCTTCAGTTACGTCACGTATCTTTTATGGAGAACAAAAGGGGCCGTTCTTATCTGGGCACTCGGTTCCGGAAAAATGTGCTTAGGTGTCGGAAGAGTCCGTCCTGAGGTTGTCGTCATTGCGTGTCTTGGTTCCCGAGTGCGGCGGTTGTGTGCCGGTTGTCGGCAGGAGGATTGCATGACCGCCGTTGCCATGGAGTGTGAGTGCAGGTGGTTGCGATCCGGCTGTTCGTTTTGATGCATTGCGTTTCCATGAAAGTTTCTAAAGGCGGTTTCTTGCAACTGGACTCATAATCTGGCGACCTCGCCCATTATTATTTTTAATTATTTTTTAAAGGGTGAGTTTGCTTTTGCGCTTGCTGGAATCTTGCAGCAGCATTTTAATTTACTTTCATAAAAAGTGTTCACTTACTATTTTGTCTCCTTTTAAGCACTATTTCAACGGTTTACTTATGGTAATATTTCTTTATTGTGTATTCCTATTTTCCTGTATTGCTCTTTTCAGTGTTTGATTTCATGTTCATGGATTACCTTTGTACTTTGGTCATAGATTGCCTCTTACTTTCCTTTTTTTTTTTTGCACATATATTTCTCTCAATGTCTGGGCCCTCTAAGGCCTGTAGTATTCTTAAATAAACAGATAGTGTGTTTTAAAGCATTAATTAAAGAAAGTGGGGCCAGTAAGCTTTCAGATTGCTATGTTTGACATATTTGCTTCTTAACTACATTACCAATTGATGCATTGATTAGGGACACTGTGTGTTAAAGGTGATCAATGAGCTCATAATCAGTTGTGTTGGGAGTCTGTGCAATATTTTTTGTACATAAAAGAAAGTATGTCAAAACAAAAAAAGCCTTTTAAGTTCATGCAGTTTCTTTCGCGCTATGCTCTTGGCTGCATAAAAATGTCAGCCCTATTCTTTTGTCTCACTGGCACCTGTATATGTCGCTTCAGTTCATTGGTTATAAGACTTGTGTATAGGTGAAGTTAGCTGAAGTTCAGCTAGCATTTTGCCTATGATAAGGAAGAGAGAGAGCATGTGCTTGAATTGCATAAATTCTCAAGCATGCACAGTCAGTGATTTTACTGGTTAATGAAGCCATTACTTATTTTTAGTGCTCTAGCATAATGTGCATTTTCGGCAAACAGCTAAATCTGATGGTTTCTTTGCATACAGAATGACGAAAGCTATATTGAATTTGTTTCACTCCTGGCCTGTCTGCCTTAGGCACCGTTTTTGCATGTGTGTATGGTGTGCAAGGAGTTTCTTGACATGTCCCACTTGCCACGACTATGCCAGTTTTTGTGGCTTTGTTGTGCGAAGTGTCCAATAATGAGTTTTTCACAAACTTGGCATAAATGAAAAAAATTCATTCCGATTGCTATTTAGGGCTTATATCCTGATTTGGCTGGTGATTGATTGTGTCCTTCAAAACATTTGATCATTGTTAAAGTTTGTAATTTTGTAGCACGAAAAGTGTGCACACTCTTTACAAACAACACTTTAAAAAAGACTGAAACGCTATCCCCTTTTCCCCTCTAGTGTTGTTATCATGGGATGTTGAAAAAATTTGAGGTTCCCACGTTAATGTTTATCTTGTGGTAGTTAGTTAGTTTGTTTGGGTTTATTGGTGCAAGAGCGACTCAGGCTAAGCTGCACCAAACACAAGGTATCTAAGCATAGCCAGTATTTATCTTTTGAAAATAAAGAGATGACAGGAAGTAAAAGTTATTTTGAAACCTTTAAAAAGTTTGTTGAAAGCTTAAAGATAACATGAAACTGAAATCGGAAATTAAGTACAAAACTGGGGGCATTAAAGTTAGCGACAAGAAACAAAATAATGGGTGTATCGGGCATTGCCATCTGGTAAGCCACAGTATAGATTAGAAAATAAGTATGAGCCAGTAATACCAGGAAGAGCAAGATTATCGCAGGTAATATACTGTGCAGCACTCCTAAATGGCAATAAAATGCAGTAAATGACTTGTATTAAAAGAGAGAATATGGCGGAACAAAAAAAATTGCTTATATGTTGAAAGCCTCATTCGGGCTAAACACACACGGAAGCAGGAGATATGTGAAGAAGGGGATGATGTTTTTAGTTCAGTGGAATCTAATGCCACGATATCTTAACAAACACAAGTAATTTTCCCCCTGTTGTAGCAATTCGAGTTGGTCTCAAGTCATAGAACATTTCTATTGAACCTTTGCAAGTTCTGCTAACATATAAGCACACGCGTGCACACACAAACCCGAATTTCCTGTTTCTTTAAGCACTTTTTAACCCTTCACGGAAGCTCTTTTCTGACTAGCTTCTAGTATTGTGCTTGTACAATATTCTTTGCAATTTGATCATTGACCACAATCGACTTGCGGCCCCCATTTTCTGCTGTCTTCTATCAGAAAGTGTGACGGGAGGTAAAACGACGTGACCAGCTTGCTAAATTGGTGCAATATGCAAGATTCTGTATTGAGTGTTGAGCATCTCTCGTGCAGATTTGATGGGATCAGTGGCAGATCAGAGAGACTGCCGGAGCAGCACGTCAGGACGGCCAACCACCTACGCCTGAGTAACAAGTCATACGCTCTGCAACGCCCCATGGCAAAACTGGTCCTCTTGCAGCAGCTCGGTATATCAGTGCCTGAAATCTACAGCAGCAAGAACCTAGAGCACACACTAGTCACCTCCTCATCATCCGCCCCGTGCACGCAACCCAAACTCGAACCCTCCCAGTGTAGTGCAGAGACCACCCTGGGTAGTGAGTGCAAAACCCACCTGACACCCGTGTCCCCCATTGTAACAACACTCTTGTTGTCCCCGTGTGTTGCACCAGCATGTCTGTGGACGAAGAGTCCAAGTCTCAGGTGCCTTCTGGTCAGCAGCTGCTAGGCCAGCGGTGTTCGGTGCAGTCTTCATCTTCCTCATCCTCCTCGTCGACGAGCGATGGTCGCTGCCGCCGAGCCACGCCGCCCGACGGTGGCTGGGGCTGGGTGGTCGTGTTTGCATCCTTCATGATCAACCTGATCGCCGACGGCGTCTCTATGTCCTTTGGCATCCTCTTTGTCGACCTCATTGACTACTTCGAGCAGAGCAAGGGCAAGACAGCATGGGTCGGCTCTCTTTACCTGAGCATGCCGCTTCTCACGGGCCCCATTGCGTCGTCACTGACGGACCGATACGGTTGCCGGCGTGTCTGCATCGTGGGCTCGCTTCTGGCTGCCGGTGGCTTTGTGGCCTCCTACATTGGCACATCTCTCGAGTTTCTTTTCCTCACATTCAGCGTGTCTGGCTTCGGCCTAGCCCTCTGCTACGTGACGTCCATTGTGAGCGTTGCCTACTACTTCGAGAGGCGACGGTCTTTGGCCACGGGACTGGCCGTCTGCGGCACGGGCATTGGGACGTTTGTATTTGCTCCGCTGACCATCCGCCTGCTGGAAACGTTTGCCTGGCAGGGAACGCTGCTCATTCTGGCTGGCTTCTTTCTCAACATGGTCATTTCTGGTGCCCTGATGCGAGACCTTGATCTCTTTGGCGACGACGAGGAGGACGAAAACGTTGAGGACACCCATGAGAAGAGGACCTTGCCATCTGCCGGGGGGAGCGAGCAGAGGCTTTGCAGCTCGCTCATTCAGCTTCCGACATACATCACAGACCAGCGTGGTGCGCCCCTGGACGTGCTCTCTGAAAACTACAACAAAGAGAAGGGCCACCTGAACACGCTTCTGGAACAGTACCCCAACATCTGGAACACCATCGACCCCAGTTCGACAATCAAGAGCATGCCGCCCAACTTTGTGCTTCCGGCATCGAAATCCAGCGCTGCCGCCGGCCCCGCGGCAGTGGGGGGCCGTGACGTGCCTAACGGCTGGGGCGAGCGCCGTCTGCAGCAGCGGGCCGACTCGGCGTGCCTGCGCAACATGCGGCTTCAGCGGGGCAGCCTCACATACCGCGGTGCGATGCTCAACATACGCCGCTACCGGCTGCGAGCTTCCAGCTGCCCCGACATATACCGCAACAGCATGTTGACCATCAGCGGAGAGGACAAGGTGAGCATCGCATTCATGTTTTCACGTAGTGTCTCCTTTTTTGGCCCTCAAGGCACACCTGTGGCCACCTTGTCAACCTTGTCTTTTTGTTATTGCTTTGAGCTTACTACTGTTGAAACGGCAACTAGTTCACTCTTATATAATTCTGTAGCAAATTGAAAGGATTTGTGGTATCAAAAGTAATGATTAATTGACCCTCTTATATGTAACTTACATAACGTGGACCACTAACCCACATGGTTGAGTTCCCGCACATTTTTGGCACTGCTATGAATCTGTCTTCCCACTGCCTCAATGTTGTCTATGCCTTCTCAGATGCTTCTATGTTTAAGCTTCGTTCTTCTACATTCTTCATTATAGTCAGCGCATAGTTTATATTGCACCCTATTCCGTTGATGCTATCAATGTCATAAACGAGCAACTTAATATTTGCTTTTCATCAAGGCTGGTGACTAGCTGCATTCTTATTGATGCCTGGATGTTATACCAACTGTGGTTTGTAATTCGTGCCACAATTTCCAAGTGCCACGTAGCTTGACGGAAACACAGTCTTGTTTGTCATTTTTAGAAGAGGCAAGATTATTTGTATTTTGCCTAGTTGCATAACTAGGCCACCGTAATTAGTCAACTCGAAAGTTATAACTAGAGCGAAGGTATCATTGAGAAGGTTGTAGGCCAGTCTTAAAAGTTCCCAATCTAGCTTTGCATTGGTTTAACATGCTGTAAGAGTTTTTTTTTTTTTTTTTTTCCAAGCCTGAAAGAGAAGTTGACCAAAACAAAAAGGCTTCGTGTGATTCTTCAAGTGACAATTTTTATGCTTCTTTGGCCCCATTTGTATAGCAAGTTTGATATATAAGTACAATAAAGAGCAATTATAGGGTGGCTTCTTGGTTCTTTTCTTTTTTTTTTTTTTTTCAAGCTGTTTGAGTCACTACACTGAGTGAATTTTGTGGCATTGCTGGCTGATAAGAACTTTTCCATCAGTTTGGTTCAGTGTTTCTAAATTTCTGCTGGCATTTTCTGCTAGCGCTTTAGACAGTTCCAGTTTTACTACAGATTATGACATTCCCTAAGCTTATCTGCTAATCCTTTTCAGTGGCCCTGTCATTGCAATCAATAGACAGCGACCTGTTGCGGATCACTGATCAGTCTTTCTCACACCTTAATGCACGTTTATTCATCTCTAAGCACAGCTTTGGAGCATTTTGTTTGTTTAAGGCGCGTTGTAAAAATAGTTTAGGTGAGAGAACGCCACCACTCTTCGCTTTGCGACAAAGCTTTGCTTCTCGGACCCGTCAGCAGATGGCGCTAGCAACTAATGCCCCGCCGGCGCAGCAGAGCCAGTAGAGCTCGGAGCCACCCTAGCTCAAGCTCGGTAAGTAAGAAGCCAGTTTGGCCTAGCTATGGCACCGAATGTAGCTTTTATGAAGCAGATTGTTTAATAAAATATGTTCTTTGACCTTTCTGCCTTATAATAACGTATGATTGAATTCATTAAGCATGCAGCATTCAGGTTTATGTAGCAAAGGGGAAGTAGCACGTCTGTGGCAATGTCCCAGTTGTCTGGCCGATATTTGCCGGGGTGACGGGAAGTTTCTCTGAAAGCGCCTATTACGGCAGGAAATCTACGCAATATTTACACCTTCGTCACAGTCGTAGGCGGTCAAGAGTACATGCCGAGTTTATTTTCCGCCACTCACGAGGGCCTTATTATGTTATTAAATTAGCGTTGGCAGTAAACGCGCAAGATATCTAGAGTAATCCTCATATATATAAGATATCTAAGTAACCCTCATATAACGCTAGCCACATCGTGGCTAAAAAAGCGGCTAATGATTTGTGATATCCCATTCAACACTTTTGCTTTGTGTAACTTCTCATGTATATACATCTTAGTATTCGTTATGACTTCCTATACTTCATGACATGGACACACACATTTGCGTGGGTGACAATCCTAAATTTCATTTATTTGGATTGGAGCAGCAGTGCATTTATAAATGAAACACTTTACATACAAACACAAAACAAAGGGTACATCACTGTACACCATGATCACAGTACACACAAGCACTATTGTACAGATATTAAACATACACCTTTCTCTTCTCCTAAATCAATTATACTAGTTTTGACCATTTGCGCAAGTCTTGGTTCTTTTTTACATGCTTATTTTTTAGCTGCCAGCACTATTGCCGTATGCGTAGGCACACATAATAGTGCAATAGCTGGCAAGAACTTCTTTGTGAGCAGCACATGGAAATGTGAAGTTGAAACTTTCTATCACTGCATCTGTCGTGTGATCATATACATCTCTCTCACCAGCATGTTCTGCAAAGTGCTCCTCAGCCTTTTTAAACAGAAGAAATAGATGCACATTCGGATGCGTGAGCCCCCCTCTGGTTTTGCAATTTACTAAGTCTGCTTCTGGTAGCTTAAAATGCCTCTCTGCCCAACCAGGGCCTTCTTACATATTGTACAGAAAGTTTGAGTGGCAAGCTTTCGTGACACAAATCCAGTGACATAATATACAATGCAGTCCACAACGGCAGCATCAGAATAATCATGCTGAAGCACTTCATCGCACTCCCACATTTCCTCACTGATAAGGCCATCTAGTTTCTCCTTGAGGTCGTGCATGTTATCAGTGCGCAGGAAAGGTGCAGATTGGAACACCTCTCTGAAGTCATTCAGGTTGAGAAAAACAGATTGGTTTTTCTCAGAAACTACATAGTTACCAAACTTTGGTGGCTTGAGCAAAGAATACAAGGAAAGCATGCGGTAAAGCTGCAAAAATGTCGGAAATGTTGGATGCTCATTTTGGCCACCTGCTTGTCTTATAATACCAAAAAAGCATTCCAACGGATCCTGGTTCATTTTGGCTGAGAGAACATACTTGAACTCGCACTCTTTCAGAAGAAATGCTGACAGTTCCTGAACAGACTTAAGTGTGACACGCAGGCCTTCAGCAGTAGACTGAGTTAAAAAAAGATCTTTGTGAATGTCACCCCTCACTACTTCCTGCTCTCAGCTATCAAGCCACCTAGATGCTGACTTTAGAACATGGAAGCCTTTGCATTCAAGGGTGAGGCCTTCTGCAGCAAAGCGACGATTGAGGGCATCAAAAAGATCATTCATTAGGAGGGTTAACTCGCCAGTCGATTCCACATTCTCAAGCCGTGGTGTGCCTCTCCATGCATAGAAAGAAATGCCCTTAGCAACTGAGTTGGTAAAAATTTGTGTGGCCGACTTCACTCGCATTTTGAGCATATGTGAGGGATCAACATGCGAGTAAGTCAACCTTAAGCTCTGCTGCGTTTTTCGTGTCGGCAAGAAAAAGTGCAGCATAGCATGACCACTTCACAATTTTCCTATTTACTTTCAATATTTTCTTATCATAAAGACGATTTCTAATACACTTGAACAAGTGAGAGGTACCTATCTGCCACAGCATACACTTTTCTGGATGGATCTAGGGGATGCTCGAAAGCATTTACGACATGTCCTAGAGCACCGCTTACCCCAAACTGCTTCCACCCACATGGCCCTATTGGTAGATGCACCGTCACAGACCACACTGTCAACATAAACTCCTGCTTGCTCTAAATGCACAATGCACTGAAGCAACAGCTGTGCAAAAAGTGTACCCTTAGTTGCACCTTTTGATGCAAATATTGCCACTGGTTGTAAATACCTGTCAGCAAAAGGGGCAAAAGCAAACATTAGACCATGGTCAGCCAGTTCATTGCTTTGTCCACCTTGGTCTCCATAGTCAACAAGACCAGCATATGTCATGTTCTTCGAGTTTACAGTCATCTCTTTCCTGACCTGTATCTCATCTAGAATAAGCATCCCTCTGCGTTTAAAGGGTGTCTTCTTTGCCAATTTAATCTTGAGAGCTTTTAAAAAGTTCTCATCAAAGCCACATTTGAGCCCCACCATGTTTATATATCTTCTAATGGTGGTTGTGCATGGCATCGGCAATATGTTACTGCTTCGTAAAAATGCGTAAGCAGAGGGGCTCCTGATGTTAAGCAAGATGCATAGGAGTAGCCAGTCATCTGCATAGCGCCTGTTATTCTTCGTAGTGCACTTAGCTGCAGATATACGTTCTTGCACAAAAAGAAGCTGCATCGGTTGAATATCAAAAGCTTGGAGTTTCTTTTTGATATCCTCTTCTTGCAGTTTTATTATTTCAGCTTTAGCTTCTTCCAGTTCTTTAGTAATTAGCTGGTTACGCTTCAATAGTCGTGCTTGTGCCTTTTTTAATATGGAACTTGCTTGACGCAAGGCGTCAATTTTGTGTTTCTTGGTAAGCGACACAAACAGCCTGATGCACTTCAGTGGTTGCCGTTGTTCCGCTTGAGCAACCTGCCGCTTTGCATGAATTCTGAGAGTATCGAAGAGACTGCTGCATGCACAACATATGCTTCCCTTCGGTAACAACACTTGGCACCGTATACGCCTCCATTTGCTTTGGCAGTCAATGAAAGCAGACTCAGGGGCCACAGAACGAAAGTCCTTTCAACTGTGTTTTTCACCACAGACATCTACTCTGTCAACAGTTTTCAAGATATGTTCAATTTACGATGCCGTTTCAGCAAAATTATTTACACCTATTGCACTACAATCAATGGGCTTGCCAAATATATGCCCTTGCACAGTCATGTCACATTTCGCATGCACAGTTTTTCTGTTGAAAAACACACATGACCCATCACTTGCGCAAAGCAGAGAGGCATCGTAGAACACTAGGTCACGATACCCTTCCAAGTCAATGTGATGAACACCCCACAAGGGCGTCGGAAGGCACAAAGTTGATGCAGCGCAGAACATTTCACCGAAAGGTGAAATGTCAGGGTCACTTGCAACGGCGACATGGCTGTTTTCGTTTACTTTAGCATCTGAATTTGGGGCTGTTGCTGCTTGCTGCTCGACTTGAAACCCACTGCTGGTCTTGCCTTTGCTCGCAGAGGAAGCTGCACGGCAAGCATGCCGCCTCGACTGTTTTCGATGGCTCCTTATCTTCTTAGACAAGTAACTAGGCACTCCGTCGAAAATAGATGGCACAGCGTCCTTTGAAAGTCTTGCTCTTCTGCTTCCAAGCATCAGAACGTGGCCATTAATTTCTGCAGACCACGCTTTCAAATAAAATGCGGGGCGAAATGTTTTTCGCACACACGGTCTGTCCGTTGAAGCAGACGATCCTTGCGAGGGATCGCCCACTTCCATGCTTCAAGCCTGGCTTGATCTTGTAGTGGCATAAAAAGGGAAAACTTTTCTTTGCACGGCCTATACCCTGTGTTGCAGTAGGGTACAAAGCACTTCCTCGTCGCGAAGCACACTAGCACACTAAACAACGAAGGATGTCGAAGTGCCAACTTACGCGAGCACGTTCAGAAAAACAAGCAACAACATGTCCAGCGTGGAGTGAAGGAACAGCAAGAATGCGGCGGGAGAGCATTAGCAAGCAGCGGCGGTGAGTAGCTATTTTAGCGCGCCCTCTCTGGAGAGGTTTCCTAACCAGAACGGCATGCGCCTCTCTCCACGAAGCCTCCAGTATGCGCCGTTCTCTCACCTAAACTATTCTTACACCGTGGTTTAAGGTAATCATTTGCCTTGAGTGACAACATCAAATGAAAATCTACATGCCAGTGATTGCTCGATATATTAGTGTTTTGTGGCGCAAGTGGCACTGGTGTACTACTCTGATCTTTGACTACAAGGTATTAGGGTGCAGTAAATTGGAAGTGTATTTGGGCTTTAGAGAAATTCGGCTATGTTAGCGTTATACAGAGATCAGAGACATTCATGTCAGTTAAATGAATTCACTTAAGCAACCTTTATCATATATATCATCTCTCTTGTTTGGGAGTACCCACATTAGGTTTGAAAAGTCTGCCCAAATTGTGTCAAGGCCCTAAAGTGTGAAGTTATATCTAATATTATATGCACTTCTGCTGTTACGCACATTCATGTTCCAAAGGGCAGTGCAAACAAGCATTACAGAAAACAAGTTTCTTTGAAGCCTTTTCAGCAAAAAACAAACAATGTTGGTATTTTTGTGCTATTGCAGAAGTACTCAGTCCAGTGAAGTAGCTGCAGCAGCCCTCATTTTTTTTTTAGCTGCCCACCATTGTGGCGATTGCGTCTGGAGTGGTTGATAGGCATGGCCATCCAGGCAGGGCACGTTATCTTTCCCTATTTCTTGGCAGTTTCTCGTAGTGCCTGCAATATTCACCAGATGATAGTTTTACGGATTGTTAGTATTTAATGATTAACTTGCAATGATAAGCGTTTTTGGTTCGTAGCGCCATGCTGTGGTTCTCGGAGAACTGAGTGTGGAAACATGGGATCATTTGTGACAGGAATATATACAGAGAATAATTTTTCTCGTTGGTGAAGTTACGTAAAGATCTGGGCTTGGTTGGTTATTTCAAGACCGTGCGATTTTAGTAGTTCTTTTAGTAGTTTTTAGCATTCGATAACGTGAAGATCCTTGTAGCCATTTGAGACTGCACTGGTTTAGAATTTACTATTGTTCACTTCATGGCATGAAGGCAGGTAACCAATGATCAGCTATAGCACGAGATTGTATTGCAAGAAATGGGAAGCAGGCATGAGAAGAAGGAATGGTTTGGCGGCATGAGGACATTGAGAAATTTACATGCATAAAATGGAACAAGCTCACAGAGGGCAGGGTTCGTTGCAAATCTTTGTAGGCATAGGTGTGTGGGGACCTTCCCTTCAGGAGAGGCAAAGTATGTCGGAGCACTCCCCCAATTCCTATCATGTCAATGTATAGAGGACCGGCTTCGTGCCCCCCCCCCCCCCCCATGAATCGCAGTGCCCCCTCCTCCCTGTTATGTGTGGGGCTGACGTTGTGCCCTCCCCCCCTTATTAGGTGACTAGAAAAGGTAGCCAGCGGCGGCTGCATTTCCGATGGAGGCGGAAATGTTGTAGGCCCGTGTGCTCAGATTTCGGTGCACGTTAAAGAACCCCAGGTGGTCGAAATTTCCGGAGCCCTCCACTACGGCGTCTCTCATAATCATATGGTGGTTTTGGGACGTTAAACCCCACATATCTATCTAGAAAAGGTAGCCCCCCCCCCCAGTGTACATGCCTATGATTGAAGGAACACAAAAGTAAAATAATGAATCGGTTTAGGCTGACGATTCGGACTGTTGAGAACTCTAAGATTAAATTCACCATCATATTATTATTATAGAAGACCGAAATTCTGGCCAAACTATCGTTCTTAAATTTCGTGCTGAAATTGATGATGTGTGATGTTTTGTGGCGCAAGGGCTATTTCACGGCCAAAGAGTGCCAGTTCATTTTACTAAAGATATGGACAATGATTGTGATAAGCGGCTCTATAAGGGCCATAAAATTCCTCGCGGTAAGGTGGGTAAAAACATACAAGTAATAAAATCATGACCATGCCGTGAAAGGTGTGTGGGGTGTGAATAGATGACAAAAGTTGGGGATAATAGAAAACGATGGTGGACATGTATGGCATTAGCACAAAAGCCTCACTCGTTCATACCCTTGCGTCCAAGGGCCGTGAGGCAAGTGCTTTGTTGTGTAGCCACCGAAGCGAAAACCTCTCTGGAGAAGTCGTGCTACGAAATGCCCGGATATATGATATGAAAACTACGAATTTCTTTCATGCTGAAATTGCCGTACGTGATGTCACTAATTTCAAAGCACATTTTTGTATTTTTGTGATATTGGCTCAATGAAATTTCTTAAACTTCATATGTTCAGGTGGGCTGAGACTCCATTACATTAAAAAAAATTTTTTTTGCTTTCATTTTTGTTTCAATATTCTTGCTGAGCAACAATTTCATCCCTTTTTACTTTGTTACATATGGTAATCCACTGTAGCTGTATTCTTCACATCAACATCTTTCGACCGATTTTTCCAACCGCCGGCGAATTTTTCAGACCTGACAGGGCACCATGAAATAGTCGGAAAAATCGAACAGTTCGAAAAAGTGGTCAAGCCATGAAAATGAAGTTTATTTGGGTTAGAAAAGCCTGAAGAAAGCCGCCAATAATGCGACAATTGATGCTGTTCTTAGGGATGAGCGATATCTGTGCTACGGTAACAAGGTTGGCAACTGCTGCTGCCGACCGTTCCAAGCGGAAAAGTTGGTGGCTTCATGGAACCAAGCAAACAAAACAAGCCTGTTTTGAGGGATTTAACCACACAGTCTGGGCTTCTTTTAGCTGCACCGACCCCACGCAGTACTTGAGCCTCCAGCATTTCGCTACCATCAAGACGCTACCGTCGTGGCCGTGATTGAATCCACGTCAGTAGTTGAGCAGCATTACCACCACAGTGCTACTGAGCAATCGCGAACAGTAGCAAGCATTTGACGCGCGGCAACTGTGAGCACAAAAACGATGATGGTGATGTGTGGGTTTTTATGGCGCAAGGGCCACGCTTGGCCACAGAGCACCATGAACAACGATGATCGAGAAGCAATGGTCTGTGGTCGAAGTGATATGAAGAGGATATGAACAGCCATACTGTTACGCGGCTGTAAAGGGGCCTGAAATTCTGTGCCCTGCTTTGGCACTAACATGGCCACGTCGAACAGAAAGACACACACCCAGAAATTGAAAACTTACTGGCATATTAGTCATGATAAGGCTGACTGAAAAGGAAAAGTTTTGCCGTTTTGCTAGCCAAGGAAGATCACACGTGGCCTCCAAAACTGAAAGATTGTGCGCGCTTCCAACCGTGAAGGCCATACAACTAGCCACTGCAAGCCAAACTCGACCAAGGGAACAAAACATCCAGCATGGCGGCTTTCAAAATTGAGTGGCATAGCTCAAAATAAATGATTTAGTCTAGAAAATTGAACTTTGGAACAGAAATTCATTTGTAACATTGGTCGCAAAAATTCATAAGTGAAATGGGAACCTTGGCTGTGCATTTGTGAAGCCCGAAATATTCAACAAGTCCGAATTTTCGGAGTCTGGAAGATCTGTCGGCGACTGTATATTCTGCATAGAACACTTTTGTGTGTGCATGCACTGTTTTTTTTGTTTTGTATTGTCGTGTAACAGCAATAATCATTTTGGCCATTTGCCTCGTTAGCCTTCTTGTTATGTAACTCCTTGCAAAATGATTTTATGGTTAATTTTCTAAATTCTACAAATAAAAATTAAAGTATCGTTTTGTAAAATTGCTCAAATGGCTATATTGAAGTCAAGTTCACCCTATGATTGTAAGGGCTCATTTTCACACATTCCTTACCGAGTGTTCTGTCATGCATCGCCCATTTTGGTAAATCGCCGGTTCGCTGACTCGCTGCGCTCCTTGCAATGTCGCAGACGTGCCAGTGGCTGAGCGATTTAAAAGAGGTGCTGCTCGACTCCATGGACGTGAGGCTGTTCCTCAACGGCCGCTACACGCTGCTGTGCATCTCTAACTTCCTGCTCAACGCATGCGTTGACAACCCCTACATGTACCTGCCCGACAGCGCCATCCAGCTGGGTGTCGACAAGGACCGGGCGTCCTTCCTCATCTCCTTCATTGGCATCCTTAACACCTTTGGCGTGGTGAGTTTGCAACGACGGAGCAAGGGAAGCGGCCAGGTTAACGGATTTGTGAACCACGTTTCCAAGTTACCATTAAATAGATTCATTATCGAAGTTTATTGTTTTCATAAATTTTTTGCCCACCCCCCAAATTTTAAAATCTCAAGTCTGTCAAGGCCGTGCAGAGTTGCTGGGACTTGTCACTTGCTTTAAGATCTCTCTCTAATCTTTCGTCCCCGTGAGCACGCTGCAAGCTACGCAGTGCAGGACGGTACAGGTTAAAGAAGTTGTGTCACTGCACGTGATAGTCCTAAGCGTGGGTGACGAAGTGTGATTGCTTTTTCCCGTTGTCGTTCATGTGTGCAAGTGTGGCTACTGTGTAACGTTAGCAGGCCATGAAGCGCGGTGCCAGCATGTGGTGGTACCCCGTGGATTGAAGCACATCTGATTTGAACGCCGCTCTTGATTTTTGTCGGTTATTGACCAAGAGCAGGCTACGCACTCCGCTTCTAAACTCTTTTGCTGCACCGGCCTGCAAGGTTTGACTGAGCTGTTGACCAAGCTTTGAGGGGTGGGTGGGGGGTAATGACCCTTTTAATTCTCTTGCACATAGTTTCCATCTATATGTGGCATGTGCACCTAATTTATTTACTTAATGGAGGCGGAAATGCTGTAGGCCCGTGTGCTCAGATTTGGGTGCACGTTAAAGAACCCCAGGGGGTCGAAATTTCCGGAGCCCTCCACTACGGCGTCTCTCATAATCATATGGTGGTTTTGGGACGTTAAACCCCACATATCAATCAATCAATCTAATTTATTTACTTAGAAATAACCAGCAGTTCCAACAATGCGCATTATTCACAATATTGCTGTCTCTGTTCTAATAGTGTGATATTATCACAGATCTTATAATTTAGTTTGATACTCAATTTCAAACAAAAAATATTAAACAACAAATATTAACAAAAAATATTAAAGTGAACAAACTCTTACTGTTAGTGCGGTGGCAGCACTTCCATGAGAAAGGCCTTGGCAGAACGTTCGCAGAAAATTCTCCCTTTTTTATGACTTCAAGATGCTCTCTTGTCGAACTTCATACGGTGTCATATAAACATTACAGACCAAACATTGATGGATAAATGTCCAAATGATGATATGACTGTGATAAAGAGTGAATGCCTGCTCATATAATTTTTATTAATTAGGTGGCCTCTCTTTGCATGATTTCAACCACTTTTTGATTGTACAGTACCAAATCACATATTCAGAGTCTACTGCACATGCTTACCCTCCTCTAAAGCTTTTGCAAAAGACTGTGCAGTCCAGACAGGGCAACGAAGGGCAAGAACTATTGTTTCATGTGCAGTATTTCTGCACAGTCTGTCAACAATAGTGCTTGCACAGATACTTATGTTAAAATTGTTCACACTATTTTCTTATTGGGATGAACTGCCAGGGAGCTCAGTCAGTCACCAACGCTCCACAAAGACTTTACTGGTGCTGTTCTGCAGACCACAGTGTGGTCACCTTGCACAAATAAAAAAAAAGTTAGAGTAAAGGAATGAAGTGAGTCTGCGTGGTTGGTAGTAGTGTATACCGTGCTCTTTTTCTTTCTTTGTTTCAGTTTGCATTAGCTATGGTGCTAATGACCTGTAATTACATAAAACAGTACAGTACAAACTGCCCCGCATTTATCCGAAGTCCTCGACGACAGTTCCTCAGATAATCTGAGTAGCCGTGAAAACTCATAAACCAACCATCCCAGCTAAACCATCCCAGCTAAACGTACCATTGAGTCATTACTATCCCGTGGTACTCCGTGCAGGTGACAGTAGGCTACTGATGAGTCGCCACTATAGTCTGCTATCCCCGCGCAGGTGATAGTGGGCTACCTGGGCGACAAGTCGTGGCTGGAGCCCACACTGCTTTACAGCCTGCTCACGGCCATCAGTGGAGCGGCTATTGCAGTGCTGCCCATGGTGAGCAGCTACACAGCCCTGTCCCTGCTGAGCTCGGTGTACGGCTTTGCCATCTCGGCCAACTACACGCTGGTGCCAATCATCCTGGTCAACCTCATCTCGTTGGACAACTTCACGGGTGCTTATGGCCTCCTCCTGCTCATCCAGGGAGTGGCCGGTCTCATGGGACCTCCCATTGCCGGTGCGTGTTGCCCAGTGGTGGCACTGTTGGTCATATTTATCTTACTATAGAATGCCAGCACTTCTTCAGTTACCGTAGAAATTACGATTTCTTACACTGATAATAACTCGTTACTGTAGCTTGTGTTCTTACATAACAGTGATGTACTCGGGAAGCCCAGGCTTCTTTCAACCCATTTTTCAGACACGACACAGGTTGCTAGCCAATTTAAACTCTCTTACAATAACCATAAATTACGCCCATGCTTAGCTGCCAGTGATGTCCGCTTGTAAAATCCAGAGGTGCGCCAATACATGAACTTTCACATAGTTTTTAGTAGTGTTTAGTAGTCAAATGGCCCGGAGCGTTAATATTCAAAGCATTCGAACTTTTGGAAAATAAGTATAACAGCTTATAACTGAAAATAAAGATAATGACAATAAACAGCTGCTCCCACTGGTGATCCAAGTGGTCGCTGCGCCACGAGCTTAGCCAGGAGGGATTTGCTGTCGATGCGTAAAATGCCCATCCACGTTTCCGAGAAGCCAGCTGGCGATGAAATTCTTTGGGTGCAACGCAGCACATTACACCTTCATCGCATTTGCATGCCTGTTTACTCGATGTTCTTATTTTCAGAGGTCGAATCTTTTTACACAGGCGCTGTGATCACATGTTCTACAGTGCATGCCTGCCATCTCTCGCGATTGTACGAATGCTATCAGGAATCTCCCAAAAAGTGCTCGCCAGAGCAGAGCCATTTTTTTTAATCATGCGTGTACGTCAGCCTTTCCTACTGCGACAGTTGTGGTGCTGCAAAAGAGCACTCGCCGCTACACTTTTAGTTCATTGTAACCATACCGTAGAGTACCGCTAAGTTCATATTCTAGGCACTGTAGTACCGTGCATCTGCGCAAGGGCCGGGGGTCGCGAGGCCAGGTCACCACCGCACCCAAAGAAGGCGACCACAAGTTTTGCTTATGTCTGCCTTGAGGGGTACGCTAAAACTACGCCGCTTGCCTATGTGTCAGTTGTATTTGTTACAAGATTTTGGGGAGATGTGTGTTTCCACGAGTTCAGTTGAAAGGTCTATGACGGTTTCTAAAGTAAAAAGTGTACTTGCAAGTGTTTCTGGACTCTCACACAACTTAGTGTCCGTGCTTTGTGACTTCGCGGAAAGGTGGCAAGTATGGGTTTTGTATACCACGAGTGCCTGTGATGTAAGCATTTCGCAAAGTGACTAGGTCAACATAGGGCAGGACATCGGAAGTCTCTTCCAAAATAGCTGCAAAGACAGTGTGATCATCATCAGAATGTCTATTCACAGGATTTCTTGTGGAACACAACGTGCCGCTGAGCATAAGTGATCGCGCACGGTCATTGTTTCGTAAAACACTCCCGAACTGCACGGTTGTGAATCGATACGGGCGCAGACACACGCGAACAACTGCCATCGTCGGAAAATGGCTGCAGATGCCGAAAACAAAATGTGTGGAGGTCCTAAACAACCGTGCTTCCATAGTTACAGTGTATGTAAACAACGACAGAGGATCTCAAATCTCTCAGTCCGAATGTCAGATATGCAACCCCCCCCCCCCCCCCCCTTCTCCTCCACTGCGTTCTCCTGAATTTTCATCCTGCTAGGTTGACAGTGTGAATACCTTGCTAAAGCACTGAAGTTTGGGTTGGAAGCCCTGGCATAACAATCCACTAACTTATCCAGATTATGTACAGGAAAATGCTCCATAAAGGTGTGGCAAACCGAATTTAAGATTTTCTTTGCTGTAGCCAATGTTTTGTCCCATCCATGTTCTTTGTGTCGAAGCTTTGAGTGTATTCCTTCATATGCAGATACAAACAAGACAGGAGTTGAAGCAAAGGTGGAAGCTTAAAGAGATGTCAAATTTATGAACATGAGGTGCCTCTGAGTGAACGTTTTACGATCAGCGGTCTTGCCTTCCTCAAAACCACAAGGTTGCGGCCTTAAGGAAGGCAAGACTGCTCACCGTAAAACGTTCGCTCCAGGGGCACCTCGTGTGCATGAATTCTTTGTCGCTTGATATAGAGGCCATTTCGTAACTTTCTTTTGAGTTGGACGACGCTCCTTGAGTGCTAAGTCTTTCTCCACTGGCTCTCTGCAGGCTGGCTATGTGACACGACCGGTGCATACGACGCCACCTTCTACTTCAGTGGCCTGAGCATTCTCGCATCGGGCGTTCTAATGCTGCCCGTGGCCAGCAGTTGGCGCTGCCAGAACCCAGCCTCCTACAACAACCGCGACGCCGACAGCACGTCCTCGTCTTCCGCCGCTGCCGCCACTACGTCCTCCTCCGCCGAGCCGCGTAATCACGTCACTACGGTCCTCCTGCCGCAGAACAGCACCAACCCGGTCGCGACCAAGTTTACTGAAGAGGGAGCCCCGCACGAGACTGTGGCGCTAGTCAGCAACGGAATCTGCGTGTGAGCTTTGCCCTCAGTCTTTCTTCCTCGAACACTTGGGATCTGGAAGCACGGCACATTTGAGCCGCAGTTGTTGGCTCAGACAGTCAAACTTTCTTTTGGATTCATCAACCTTACGCACTTCGTTTTCAATCACATTTTTTCTGGCCAACAAGTGCGATGATCAGACTGGCGCACCTTTATGAGCATTATGTGGCAGCGTGTTTGTCACTGCAGGGTGCCAGGAAAGTACGTGGTTGCGTGCCGTGTCACGTTACAGCGACGCCTGAGAGTCCTCGCTCGGCCTATTTTCTGTGGGAGCCGTAGGGGCCCAGTATTTTGCAGCGATCCATTTTGATTTTTTGTACTTTTTGCCCTATTGTCATTGGCCACAAAGCCACCGCACCTCTGTTATCACCGGGATCGGCCACTTGGCGCGATGTTTGACGAACAGCGAGCAAAATGGATCGCTACGAAACACTCCTCCTGGCTGCCTAACCTCTTGAGAATAAAAAACTGTTTGCCTTTCCGTTCAAACTTATGCCGAAGCAACAAGTGATTGGCCGGAAATCTCTCATTTACTAGACGTAATCACTCGCTCAGTGGCCTTTTTTTTTCTGCAAGGAAGAATTCCTTTTACATCGTAAAAAAGGGGGGATATAAAAAGGGTGTCTTTTTGTCCCCAATCATCAATTGTCACCTGGCCTGCTCGTGTGTTCCTTCCTTCAAAACTTGGTGCTTGCCACTTTCCAATCAGGAACAGTGTGTCACGCCCATATCGTGGGTGTCATTCGTCACCTGGAAGTATTAGGGATACAGCAGTAGTGCAAGGAAAGGCACACTATATAGATGGCAATTGTTGTTGTGGGATGACAAAAAAAAAAAAACACCCCTTTTGGTCGCTTTTTATTCGGGGTGTAACTGTGCTAGATGGCCAGTAACATCAAATAAGTAAAGATAGTAAGGTGTGAAAGCACCTTTCTTGCACATTTATGTGGTGTTTCGCTGTTTCGTTTATCTTGCGCCATTGGCTTGTATTTTTCAAAACAGCTAAACTATCTAAGAATTACATTGAAGTACACTCAATTCTCGATATAGCGAACTTAGATATAACAAAATATGGGTTATAGCAAATGAATGAATACTCTTGCAATAGCTATAGTACTAGGAATACACTTCTGTAAATGAATTTTTGGTTATAACAAACTTTCTTCAGGTAAAATGCTATTTCGTTATAGTGAGGTATGATTGGAATGCAAAAATTTTACCTACATGATCTGCACCTGTGTGCTCATATAACCAGAGTATGCAGCATATAATTGGTAAAACACTTTAGTATTGCTTGATTGCAATACCATCCGTTTTTTTACAAAGAATAGTTATACTGTGCCGTACTAATTTTTATTTTCATGTAAATAATCACTGCAGTAATGTGTTGCTTCTGTAGCCCAATCAATTCTGGCTCTTACACGGTTGAGTTGAACCTTGATATAGCAATCACTGATATTTTTAATCTTGAGGAGAAAGCTGAAAGTAGCTGTGTATGGGCCTAAAAAATCTTGTCAAGCCTCACACAGTTTCACAAATGACTTAATTGATTGACATGTGGGGTTTAACGTCCCAAAACCACCATATGATTATGAGAGTCGCCGTAGTGGAGGGCTCTGGAAAATTAGACCACCTGGGGTTCTTTAACGTGCACCCAAATCTGAGCACACGGGCCTACAACATTTTCACCTCCATCGGAAATGCAGCCGCCGCAGCATGTCTTGTAATGTCTTGAAAAGTCTCTCAAGGCTTTGGTCAGACACCTCCAAGACCGTCTCCAAGCAAGCAGTGACACTGATCATGAAAATTTGTGACATTATAATGTCATACTATGATGTCACGTCATAATGAGGAATGCAAAGAGCAAGAACAATGTATCTGTAACCGAGCGTTACTCTACGCTCTACTCGGTGTGTGCAGAAAAAAAAAAAAAACTGAGCCATTATTTTGCCTAGGTGGCACAAGAAATGACTACAGAAATCTGAGCCAAAGGCAGGTCCCGAAGAGGCCGACAATGCTCTTTCGATCTGCCATGGTTCGGAACGACTAGGTCTTAAACCTCAACACATTTACGCTAAGCCTGAGGGGGTGTTCTATGCCTCGTCAAGTGTCAAGATATAGGAACACATTCAAACCCTGCAGCTTTACTGTTTCTCAATACCACCTTACTATCTAGGCCTGGTACGTGGTCTCGCCCTTGTGCCGACTTACTTTTTCATGTCGCACGTAGTTAGTAAGGAATTGCCCCTTCCCACCTACGGTTCTTGAGCCTTACACTTTCTCGCCGATAGTACGGTACTCCCAAAGCACAGCTTTTTGCCGCTCTCTGCTCGAGGTTCAAACTTTTTCGCTCCTTGCACCGTCGGGTACACCGCGGTCTGCCGTGGACTTTTCAGCCGGCTCTCGACGGCTTGTTCTTTCACCCACTCTGTACAAACTTGCTTCTGCAAGGCAACGTAGATAGTGTTTTATTGTACACACAACGTGTAGAAGACATGCGTGGCTTGTCTGCACACAGTAAATGTCCGAGCCTGCAGGCCCGCCCACGAAGATAGCATGCCTGGTACGAAATCCCATATGCAATACATTGAGCTCAAGTCCAGGTCAGTGTGTTCTGCACTAGTCTCAGTGCTTTTGTTTTCCGCTGTAACAATACTAATAGGGCCTTTATATATATGAGCTGTACTTGCTAGTGAAATATTCTAGGAATAAGGAGACCACTTGACCAAGATTACAGTACGAGAAAAATAATTTAGGTGTTTACTCTCCCCACGTCGCAACGGTGAGTGTGTCCAGATAACGCTCAACTATACTACTACATATGGTGGTCGCAGTTTTGTGTGTGGGCTGTCATTGTGACGTGAGAGTCAAAGAGACTAAGCGTGATGTGGTGAACGCACTTTTTTTTTCTCTCTCGTATTTTCCTTAAAGCACTCTTCATGCTAGCAACTAGAGTTAGACATCATGTAGGCCGTGCTTTTCTCGTGACCATGGTGTAAGTACACCGTGGTTCTCATGTTTGCAGTGCCATCACGGATGCTACTTATGCAGTTTTGCAGTTCGTCAATAGCGCATGCTCCTGTCGCAATCGTGCCCCCCCCCCCCCCCTCGTGTTCCGCACGCTACTGCCGCACAGTTGCGTGGGACACAAGGGGGCCTATAGGGATCGAAAGAGCCGTACACTATTTGGATGCACACGCCATGGGGCACAGTGTCCACTCCTAAATTATTTCTTTTTACACCATGGCCAAGAGTGTCATAGGCCGAAGTAGTGCCCCAAATGCTTTCAATTGTTCCTTTTATAAAAGGCCCTCTAGTGTATACATGTGATGCTATGATGACTGGGAAACGGGGCCTGGCTCATATGCTATGTTTATTCCAAAGCATGTGCTCTTCTACCTTCTCTGCTTCTGCTAACCATCCCTGCCTTCTTACATCATATATATATTAAACCACACAATCAGGAAGGATTGTGTTACCCCAATGGTAAACTCTTGTTTCCACAGCATGTACAACTAGCAGTCTGCGTAATGTACCGATTCTTCTCCAGCTTGGCTCTCCATCGTGCAATCGTTGCGCTTTCTGGCCGATCTCGGTGATATCCAGTTGTGTGGTGTTGTGCCGGCCGATGATAGTGGAGGATTAGTGTTGGAGAAAAACGGAAGTCGTCGTATGTAGGCTTGGCCCTGTTAATACCGTTTTGATCATAAACACCCTTTAAAGATCTCAGAAACGTTGAATTGGGTGTGCAAGAAACTATGTTGCTAAGTAAAAATAATATGCATTATTTCCTAAACCGTTTCCTGTCGAGATTTTTATTAGTTAGTGGAAAAAAAAACATTCTGTGAAACTTACATTTTCCGGCACTGTGAAAATTGAACACAAATTGATGTCGGTAAAACAGGGATACAAAATTGTGCCTGTGATGCCGTTGGTTGCAGCACGCTGAGTGGAAATAATGGACATGCCTGTAGAGAAAGAGAGAGGCGGGAAGTATTCTGATTTCAAGCTAGTGAGCCTGTAATCCAAGCCAGTGCCGTAAGGTCGTAATGGAAATATAATCTTAGAGTGCATTCCTTTTTGGGGAGTGCTAAATCTAGTAGTGTTAGATCAATTTTGCATGTTTCTGTATTATAAAGCTGATTTTCCATTTCAAAATTATATTTCAGAAAACACTACTATCCAGTCAAGTTCTAGCTGACCAAAAGGTAGCATTTCACCTTAGCATCAAGACTTATGTACACTCTTCAGGAGCTTATTCACCGGGCTGGGGTGAGCTTTGTACATTATACGCTTAACAATGTCAATCCACTTTCATTCGCAGCCCAGAATAGCATTACCAGTTTACTTGTACTATACTACTCTTTGGAGCTCTTTTCTATAGCTAAGAGAAGCCCTTCCTCACAACGTCACTTATAGCTGCGTAGGTTCGATGCTGAGGTGAAGGCAGTAAGACATTAGGATAGACTGTTAGTCTATAGGTGTTCATGACGCTTTGGATGTGCTCGTCCCGAGCCTCATGACAGAAACGCTGCGGTCACCCCGTTGGTGGACCCTGGCAAACATAAGTGAAGAGAAAGAATGTAGCCCTCGTTATGAAGACTATCTAATCACCCTGGAGGTGCGTGTTTTCATAGTGATGCCTTTCCAACTTCGTCAAATGAAACGAACGGAATTTGCCGACACATGGTTCTTTCGTTGCTCTATGTATTGTGCGCACTATGTGTGAAAGCTACATTTCAAGGATGACAGCATTTGAGTGTGCTTAAAGGTGGTTAAAGTCTCCACTTCCGGTCGCAGCTTGCCGTCAGTCTCAGATGAACTGCATGTACACTGGCTTCCACTGCTGGGGAACTTCTCGGGATCATTTGTGAGGTACGTTCAGTGGTGGAAAGGATCTTATTGTAGTGTCGAGTACTTTTCAAGTCATCTGTTGAAAATTGGGTAGTGGTCGGGGAGGCTGTGAGTCTCTTCAAATGTGCGTGTTTTGGCTAATGATCTTTTTGGTGCCTTTTGTTGCCGGTAGTATTCTCTGAGGCGGCATATGCTGTTCAGCTTTGGAAGTATGTGGCGTTGATGATTATGCTTTCATTTGCTTCTTAAAATTGATTTTTGACTATATCAGCAAGACCGAATATGTACACCTAAGAGCTAAAGTTTGCGGGAAGTGAAATTGAACACTGCCTCTAATCAAACGTTCCAGCCTGTAGCAGTTCTTGCCACCTGTACGCTTCTGACCCGGAAGATCAGAAGCGTCATTCAATAAGAGTCGAAATTTTCTTTTTCTGTGAAGCCCAAGTTCCCGTAAACCTTTGCTGTCGTGTGTATATTTCACGATTGAGCTACTGTGGCTTACCGTAGGTGTGCAGAATAGCTCTTCGCTTCGCTTTAGAGCTTCCAGATTTGACGTAACATTCTTCAGTGTTAATTGGTACTAAACACTTTGCACATTTCTAATTCTTTTGGCTTGGAGTGTTAGAGCTCAGTGGTTTGTTATCTATGTACAGTCATTTATATTAAAGAAAAGCTGCCACACTGCTAATGATGTGACTTAGTCTAGGTGCAGGTGGTAAACTGGAGCTTATGGTGTAAATGCAAGGCTCGCAGAGGTTGAATAAGTGTAACCAAGCCTGAGAAGTCTAGCAGGGCTGAGCGGTTTGACAGCTTTGAGCGCTTAGGGATGCGTCTGGGATACCGTTACAGAATTCAGCATTGTCACGAACCAGGACCCCCACAGTTTCGCTATGTTTGAGAACAGGTTGACATGCAAGGGAGATTTGTTGTCTATTCTACCATCACGGCGTGTCAGCTAACTTGCAGGGCAAAGTTACGACAGTTGATGGAACTGCAGTGAGCTCAGTGGCAGGAAATCTCTGGCAATGCAAACACCTGTAACAGCATCCTCGGTGAACTTGAAGCGCACCAGTGTTTCGAGTGCTTTCCTTCAAGCAAGACTGCTTTGAGGAAGGAGAGCTAGAAACGAGAATGTTTTGTCGTGGAAGGCACTTCGTGTGTGCCCTAGAAGACAGGGTGCCGTCAGAGGAGTCAAGAATTCTGCGTAACAATAAACGGACAATCGTTGCGGCTTCTTCGGAAGTTGCGCAATAGGGAAGGGTGTGCTGCCCTTCTCATCCATCATCGAAACGAGGCAAGCTTCAGCTTGTATGGTGTGTTGTGCCTGTGAGTGGGACTTGCAGGTGAATATGTTGAAAAGAAACCGCTTCTTCACTCTCGAACTATTGTGAATACGGTTACTAGTATAGCAACTTGGAAGTTAGGAACTCTACCATGGTCCATTTTAGATTATTCAAATTTTGTATGTGTCCCTTGTCTCTTGAAGGTAAGGTGACCGAGATGTTGCAGTCCCCAAGTGACGGTTCTTATTCTCTTGCCGAGTGCATTACTCATGATGCCAGAAAAAGGTATTGCACGTTTGCGCACGAGCTGTAGTAGCAGACACTTCTAGAGCTAAATCTACAGTGGCTGTGGGATGTTAGTTGTTACACTTCCAAAAAAATGTAATCGTTCAGTGTCATAATCTACCAAATGTTGAAAT